GTCTTGCCCAGGAAAAGGACCATGCTGCAAGAGTCAACATCATCCTCCGTGACCTGTTCATTACTGCCTACCAAAGGACTTCCTTTGGTCTTCTCCAGAAGGACCGAATAACCCTCGCCATGCTTTTAGCCCAAGCATCTCCCTATTCCATGGATAAGGGGATCATTGACACAATCTTGGATATGAGTGTCGAGGGGTGCGATGTTTCCTTAGACAGAAACCTCAAAGATTCCGTAATGGCGACTGCTTCGCAGATGTCGATCTTCAAGTCATCTTTCCCATCGGTTCCTCCAGAGGCTTGGGAGAAATTCTTCACAGAAGAGTTTGCTGAAAACTTTGTCCCTGCTGTCTGGGAGGAAGACGTCAGCTCCCGTGACCAGCAACTCCGGTCGCTTCTCCTAGTGAAACTCTTCCGCGTTGACAGATTTGTCCCTACTGCCGAAAGATTTGTTACCGAAGTCTTTGGAAGGGATCTCTTTGACGGAAGCGGAGATCTTAAGGATGTTGTTGAACAAGTTACTGCAACCGCCCCGATTTCCCTCAGCTCAAGCCCTGGTTTTGATGCCAGTTACAAGGTAGATGGACTTGTCGAACGGATGCACGCGACCTGTGCAAACATCGCCATGGGCTCAAATGAGGGAGTTGAAAGCGCAGACAAAGCCATCAGCAACGCGGCTGCAACTGGCACCTGGGTCCTTGTCAAGAACGTACATCTCGCGCCGTCCTGGCTTCAGAGTCTTGAAAAACGTCTTGACTCTCTCAAACCTCACAGCAATTTCAGACTTTTCCTGTCCATGGAGTCTAGTCCTAAGATACCCGTCAATTTAATTCGAGCTTCCCGCGTGCTGATGTACGAACAACCAGCTGGCATACGCGCCAATATGAAGGATTCCCTCTCTTCCTTATCCATCCGAGCCAGCAAACCTCCTGTGGAGAAAGCCCGTATCTATCTGCTGCTCTCATTCCTACATGCAGTTGTTCAAGAGAGACTACGGTACGCGCCTAGCATGGGATGGAAGGGTTTCTGGGAATTCAACGATAGCGATGTAGGTTTCATTCTATTTACCACTAACCTCCTTCCTACTGGTAGCATATCACTAATATCTCAAAAATTTCAACAGTATGAATGTTCCGCATTTATACTCGACACGTGGGTCGATTCGATTGCTCAAGGCCGTTCCAACGTTGCGCCGCAGAAATTCCCCTGGGACCTGCTCCGCACCCTAATTACCGAAACCTACGGTGGTAAAATCGACGACAGCGGGGATTTCCAACTTCTTGAAAATCTTGTCAACAGCCTCCTAACTCCAGCCGCTTTCGAAGATGAACATAACCTAGTGCCTGGCATTGAAGATGATGATTGCCTCAAGCTACCCTCGGGTACTAGTATGCGAAACTTTACTGAATGGGTCAATCAATTGCCTGAACGTGAACCACCGACATATTTGGGACTACCGGCCAATGCGGAAAAGCTTCTACTTGTTGGGTATGGCAAGACGATGATTGAGAACCTGGCCAAGGTGACCAATCTACTTGATGAGGGAGAACAGTTAATGGTTGAGGCTGCAGCTTTGTAAGAACTACTGCGACCTCCGAATTTTGCTCTCTTGCAACATACACCACATTCCCTCCACCCCTTGGGGAATGCTTTTATTATTGGAGCCAGTCCTGAGGGCAAATTGAACCTCTTCCAGCCCGAATAAATTCCGAGTCCAAGCGCTTCGGAGACGACATTCTCTGGTCTTTTTTCTTTTCTTTTTCTTCTCTTTTCTTATTTCAAGCTTTCTTTGTCCTGGCAAAAAGGAGGATATACCCAGAATGCAATTTCCCGTTCCTTGGCCCATTCACATTCCACAATCTTTTTTCAACATTCTTCTTTTCCCCTCTTTTCAATTTCAAGTTCTCTTGTTGTTTTAACCATCATCTTGTTGTGATCTTTTTTGTGTCAAATGGTGGCGGGGTTTTTTGGGTTTTAACAATTTCCGGTTTTTATTCTCCCTTTCGTTTTTAATGTATTGCTATGTACTATGTACTTGACAAGCTAACATGAGGCTTCTCTCTCCCACATATGGTTCTCCTTTGTATTGCTCGGTCTCTTTTTCTTTGTCATTGTCGTTTAATTCTCGCATGTTTTATTTTATATTGAGATTTATGTTTCTCTTGTTTTTACCTTCTCCGCTACTCTCTTGTCTAGTCGTATCTCTATTTTGTAATTAAGTCGTCCTCGGGGCCAGCTATTAAATGCACTAGATTAACTCTCTCAGACCATCAGTATCAGGGCCAAGTCAAACTGCATCAAGTTCTTCACAACTCCTCCCTCTACCACCGAGCTTCATCCAACTCTCCTCTCCTGGGCAACGCATGCAACAGAGTTCAAAGAGTTAATTATTTACCCCACAGTCCCGAGGCCTGATTATTTATTCCCCGTTAGCTCACAACCGCCCATCTCCTCGATGTTAAGCTGTTAACTGCAAACGGGCCCCATCGATTTCGCGTTCTAAGTGGATCGTATCGTCCGCCCCTCCTTCTTCTCATTAGTCCAGACATTTTAGCAGACGGTTCGCCGTGATCAGCACATCCATGGATGATGACATTGATGAGTAGTTCCCCGCGCTCGTTGGCTGTTGCTGGTTGCCAGTTGGTGGCGTTTGTAGAGGCTAACGACGGTCGGTGTGAGAAAGCTAGGGAGTCAGTTGGACCCCGCCAGGTTAGTGAGTGAGGTTCTGTCCAGGCCGATCTATCTTGCAACCTTTCGCCATTCGCGCTTTTTCTTTTCCACTTTCTCGGTTGTCGTTGTAAAAAAAAAACATTTAACCAGTTCGATTTCTCTATACCATATACTCCGTGTATATTACGTCTCAGCTGGTCTGGATTTTTCTTGAAACTCACTACCAACCAAATCCGTCTCTCTCTCTCTCTCTATCTATGTGCTATTCTGCTCTTTTAACAGAGAGAATGTGATTTTTCTTCCTTCTCTCCTCTTCTCATCCGCTCCTCCTCCCCTTCCTTACTATATCTCATTCTGCTTCTGCTTCTGTTTTAAGCTGTTAAACATTTATAATTCAATGTTTTAGATGTTTTATTTCTTTTTTTTTTCAATTTATTCTTTATTTTCCCCCCCCTTAACCCTGAACTGTCCATGGAATAAATAAATACCCGCTCCCTCGCATCTGTATTCTTTTCTCGGGCTGCGTCTTTTTCATAGCCATGAAACGCCCAGCAAGGCTTCGACCAAGTGTTGCAGGACACTCTTCGACGTCGTCGTCTAGCTCCATGCTCTCGCGGGTCCCACTGCTGCATGTACATGTACATGACCTCAGTCTGCCAGCTTGGGATGTAGGGGATCAGATTCCCGGCTTGCGGATTCCGCTTGGTGGGTTCTATTGTTTTATTTTATTTTATTTTAGTTTTTACTTTTAAGTCTTCGAATATGGGCGATCAAGTTTTGCTTTTTGCTATAATATGTGTTTATTGATTATTGGTTCTGCGATATCGTTCTTGCGGGGGTTCGCTTTTGTAGATAGTTATAAACAACTGCTAATACTTATATATATATCAACAGCCTTCCTATCATCCCTACGAACAAATCTCCAGATATCCTCTTTGAACGAAGACCTACTTCCACCCTCACCTCTCATCCCCGTTACATATACACCGGACCCTCTAAACCCCTTCACTCACCCCTTAGCAGAAACGAAAAGGACCTCCCTCTCCCGCTCAGCTCTCAATGGAACACCATATCTACCACGAAACACGCCATTACACCATGAGAACTCGAGCACATTCAAGAAAACAACCCCCTCCAACCCTTCAACAACAACTACTGCAACAATATTACTACAAAACCTAACAACCTCCACCGCCACAACCGCCGACGAAATCCACACAGCCCTCCACCTAATCGCCGACACCGTCTCCCAACAACGCCACCTAGCCGCAAAATGCATCCTCTCCCACCCCTCCATCCTCGCCACCTCGCTCATGCTCTTCCTCACCATCGCCAAACTGCTCTACACGGGCTCCCCGCCCAGCGACCTCATCCTCATGCTCACCCTCTGGTCCCTCTGCAGCCTGCTCACCCTCCTCGCAATCCAGTACATGGTCCGCGGCTACAGTGCGCTCGCCGAGGACGTGGGCACCCGGGCCTGGCTCGCCGCCAGCTCGGTGAATGGCGTCTCGCAGCGGCGCGATGAGGTGCTCGTGGCGAGGTGTGCGGGAGAGATTGTGGGCGTTCTTGTGCTGAGGATCGCGAAGACGAAGAGTGTTCCTGCTCCTATTTCTTCTACCTCCACTACTACCAGTACTACTACTGGCGCTGGTGCTGGTGGTAGTGTTTGTGGTGTTGATGCTACTACTACCAACAACGCTAGCATGGGGGCAGCGGGCTTTCTCCTACCCAGACCGCGGTCATCGAGGCGGAAGAGCTCAGCGAGGTGGACGGGGATTATCCGGGCGTGGAGCGTGAAGGAGTCGCATCGGCGGTGCGGGGTTGGGACGCGGTTGCTTGAGGAGGCGGTGGGGCTCTGTCGGCTGAGGAACCTTGATGGGCCTGTCTTCGCGGACGATCATGCGAATGCGACGCAGGTGTTGCCTGGGATGTTTCATGGGAAGTTCCTGGAGCATGATCGGTGGGCGAGGCGGTTTTTGGAAAGGATTATTTTGGAGGAGAGGGGGTGGTAGATATTTTTATTATTTTTATTATATTATTATATTTTGTTTTTATATAAATATTACCATTCTACATGATACCTACGATATACTTATCTATTCTTTGTCTTGTTTTGTTTCTTGGGGGCGTGTTTGGAATGTGACATGAGATACCAACATTTAACTATTTTTATATTATTTTATTTATACTTAGTTCTATTTATTTATTTCCACCCCTCCAGCCAAGAAGAAAATAGAAATCCGAAACACTTCCTGAATCTGAAACGGAGAGTGTGTTATGTACAGTAACTTACCATAAGGTTAACTAGTTAACTAGCTTAACCTACGTAGCTAGCTAGGCTAGCCCTGTAACTTAGTGGAGTAAGTTACTCTACTCCGTAGTAAACCTGCTCTGGTGCCCCGGCGATCGATGCCCTTCCCCCGCCGTCACAAAGTCACAATCACTCCTACAAAAATCATCAAGGAACATCCGTCGAGAGAGCTGTCAGGGCTGCCATAGTAATCAGAACTATTAACATGCAAAAGATATATTGTAGTTATTTGCTAAACCCCTCTCAGCAAACGGCTTCCTTTTGTACATACATTCATAAATATCTGGTATCTCGCATATCCAATCCATGAGTAACTTGTACAAAGAAGCCATCCACCTCGTCAAAGCGGAGGCCGCGACATCCTCCCTTTCCTCCTCCGCACAAAGCCCTAAACCGCATATCAAAAGACACCCATCTCTCGCCCCTCTCTACACCACAATGGGACTCCATCCACCATGGATGGCTACACATTAAGCTCAAAGGCAACGAGGACTGCCTCTGATAATGACCGGAAATCCCGTCATCTTTGCCGTCAAAGGCACTATCGCGGCGGGCGATGAGCCCCTCCCCTGGATATATTATCCGCAGAGCCAGAAGGGGGTATACCCCTATGTGGAAATTATGACTGGAGCTAGGTTTCCGCCCACTTCTTCTTCTTCTTCTTCTTCTTCTTCTTCTTCTTCTTCTTCTTCTGCTGCTGCCGGTGCTCCTGCTAGGGATGAACACCCCTTCGACTGCTGCGTGCCGTCCGTGTCTTGAAACCCGCGAGGCCTAATCAGAATAAGCGGCTGAAGGGGGAAGATTTTCAGAAGGGGGACGTGATCACTGAGGAAAATGCGGTTATTCGCCCACCGCATGTGATGGCGTTGGCTTCGGTGGAGTTGAGACGGTGAGGGTTTTGCGGAGGCTGCGTGTGGGTGTCTTCTCAACTGAGTCGAAGCTGATCAATTATTGTGGTGGTAGTATTGGTGATCGTGGTCGTGGTCACTTTGGGATCCCGGATGTCAATGGCCCTTTTATCTACGCAGTGTTAGAAGCGCAAGGGTGCGACGTGGACTTTCTTGGGGCGATGGAGGATAACGGCCAGATTGCAGCTGAGAAGATTCTATCCCGTCTACAGGGACGACAGGGAAGGCGGTAGTATGACTTGCTCATCACCACCGGCGGCGTCTCTGTGGGCAAATTCGATTTCATCCCTGAAGCACTGAAGAGGTTGAATGCCTCTATAATTTTCCATAGGGTTGCCATGCGGCCGGGCCATCCTGCCCTATTCGCGATGGTTCCTTTTACTCCTGGATCAATGGCATTGACCCTGTGAACAAGGAAGAAGAGAAAGTAAGGGGAAGAAGAGGAAAAAGTTGCATTCTTCGGTCTACCCGGAAACCCCGTCGCCAGTGTTGCTTGCCTTAAGTTTCTCGTCGTGCCATATCTTCGCACGCTGATGTCGCAACCATCTGAACAGCCTGTCCGGGGCATAATCCGGTCTCTCGTGGAACATCACCAACACAGGAATAATAATCATCCTGATAAACTGAATGAAGCAAAGGAAAGTACACGCAGAGACGATGGCGCTAATATGCTAAATGGTATCCCTGCGAATAGAAAATTGGTTGCATCATTTCCAGCGGATAACGACGTATTTTGTGCTGGGGAAGTGCTTTCTCGAGGAGACCAGTGTGCAATGGAGGTCGGCATCGTTGTAGACCATAGTTCCGGTAAACTTAGGCCATTCCTGGGCGCGGATTGCCGGGTGCATGCATATCCACCCGGATCGTGCAGAGCTCATGGGGGGGATGGTGTTGATATTTACCCCCTGATGGGAGGAGGGCGTGCTTTATTCCATGGCTTATTTTTAAAGCCGGACATCTAACTGTAATAATTAATAACCTGTAACTATAGCTTCCATCCTTATAGATTTTTCCCTACCCCTTCCCTAAATAGCCTCACCGCGTCCCCGCACTCCTCGATCGTATTTCGCATTTAACAACTACATTTCCTCCCGCGGCACCACCACCACCACCACCCTCAACTCCCCAAGTCCTCTGGAATCAAGTTCCTGAATAACAATCCGCGGACCCGTGTTACCCCACTTCATATTGGCATCTAAGATCCCAAGAGCCGCAGGCGTCCATATGGCGAACGGGGGCTCGTAGTGGCCCTGCGCATTGCGGTAGCACGTCAAGGTCTGTCGCCTAGAAGGAGAGGAAGAAGAACCAAAAGTGCCATCGACACCGGTGGTAAAGTGTTGCTCGCGCAAGCACCGTGCACCGTACAGCACGAGGAGCCAGGAGGGGGAAATCCCATGCTACCACGAGCCATATTGAGGCCGGATCACTGGTGTGAGCCACCAGGAGGGCCACGGCGGGGGCCCGATGTCGTTATACGCTGACTTTCGGTTTGGGGCACAGATATTTTCGTTTTCTGCGGCTGGGCTATCATCTTATACGAATCGGAAATTGATGGCTATCTTGCTCCTGACATTATCATGTCATCCCCATCACCACCACCATCATCCCCACCACTTGCGCAGCTGTAGCCCGGGGAAGAGTGTGAAATGACAACACAACATCCATTGCTGGAGGACTCCTCCGGCCATAGAGAGTACACATGTCCCGCCTGCTCCCTCAATGCCTGCAGTACATCAGATACAGCGTCCCGGTCCGGTCCTTCAACGAGACGTGAACCACATCCAGCTCCGGGCATGCTCTTTTCAGAACCAGCGCAAGGTGCAGGAAAAGCGGTGGCGAATTGCTCGTTAGCCGGAGCAGTTCCTTGCGCGCTCCAATGCGCGATGACTGGCCGCCGGCGAGGATGAGGGCCTGGAGAGGCATTTGGGGTTGTGGAAAGTTATTTTACGGGATGAATCATATATATATGGATATATATAGCAGCGCAGAGGACTATTTGTTGATGTTTTACGTATGGCGACAAATAGGGGTAAAATTGTAGATTTACCCCTTTTTTTCAGTGTGCGACTGTGTTGGGTGAGAATAGATGTTAATATGATTTGTCTACCTGCCGCTAATGGGATTATTTTCTCAATTTTTTCAACAGAAGAAAACAGAAACAAAGAAGTTTTTTCTTTTCTTTTTCTTTTTCTTTTTCTTTTTTTTTTTTTTTTGAAAATGAAACCATCATGTCTCAATTGTCTTTTCCACAATCCCATTTTTGATATACGTCAGTGGCCGGGGGGAGGGTGACCACACAGTAAGTGACTATCATTGATTTATATCCGTGGAACGAACCTTCCTTCTCATTGCATCCCAACGTTCTTTGTAAAACTTCCTCTGGCGCGTCTAACTTTGCAGTTTTTGGCATCAAATTGGGGGCGCGCCGTGTTCAAATACCCCCCAACAACCTTTAGAGCATGCAAGAAGTAAAATATTAGAATTACTACAATATCGAGACCACTTACAAAACCAGTATGCATGTATGCGATATGGGTGGGCATTTGAGTTCAACAGGTGGAATGCTGTTTGGTATATCAGAATGACCGCTCAGGGTGGTAGAGGAAAAAGACAGTAAATATTTACTCTAAATCTCTCACTTGTGAGACAACAGGGAGCGTAGCGCAATACTGCCTCCTCCGCGGTCAGGCCGGGTCCCAATACCCAACTGCGGGGGCGCGTTAATAGCATCAGGGGGACATCGCCGGGAAGTGATGTCTTCATCCGCACTCTTATTTTCCAACTCATACTCTAAATTGTTGAGCTTTGGCAACTTATTTGGTCTACCCTATTCATCATCTAGGGATCTCTTCTGCCCCCGTTACACTACTGACTGCATCTACTTGCTATAGTCTGCTGGGGAGTACTCTTCATCATTCAGGAAGTACAAATTTTGAAGCAATTCAAGTTGTGAGCGAGTTTCTGCGTCCAGAGATTGTACTCGACCACCCCCTAACACCAGTATTCCCCGTCGGAGTGTTGCCACCGGCGCGCCGTGCCATTGTTTTGGAGTTGAGAGGGTATTTAGTACATTAGAAGGAAGGCGACCGCCAACTAGGTAGTTCTGTAGAAAATTTGGTCGGTACAATCCTCCACTTGCGTTGGCAGGGACCTTTCCATCATTGTGCTGGTGGGCCTTGTATTCTACAACTGTTGGGACTCTTCGGTGGACATCGACATCCTTCCCATTCTTCAATGCAAGCTTTTTCTCCTGAATATCATCAAGCTCAACATCAATAAAGTACTGCAAGTCCACAGGTAACAAAACAAATCCGGGGTCAGCCGTCTGGTCAAACTGGACGTGGAAGCCTGCACATAGTGCGATCCCATTCTCGGCTGAGGTTAAGTCAAAGTGGATGAGATTGCATTGTACCATATTTAGTTGTATCTGTAGCGGTAGTAGGAAATTATTTATTACCCCATCTCCGATTAGATCCATATTTGAGGCATTGTTTACTCACCTGCGGATCCTCTTTCCCAAACACATGGCAGACTTGGGGATTGGGAGCACCGCACGCCCAACACTGATCTCCCGCAAGTCTTTTAACCTCGAGCTTCGTAGACCCAGAAAACGTGTCGGACTTGGGAATATCACTCTGCCACGACGTTGATGACATTTCAAATCGCTTGACATGGCAGAAGGCCAGTACTTGTCGTGCAGAGAGATGAATTGAGAGCAACTCACGCGCAATGAAGGCGAAGATTAAGCGGGCTCTAGGCGCTGGGTTCTGACGGGAGAGACGTCTTTGGCTTACTATATTTATGTTATCAAAGAGATCCATTGTACATACTAAATATCGATCGTCACTTTGACTGTGCATCACAACATCAATTACGGCCTTGAGAGATGCAATTGATTTGAATATCTAGCGATCCGTGATGTAATCTATCTGGAAAAAGACACACCAACCAGAGACAGAGACAGAGACAGCGGCTCCAAACCAGCCTCACGACTCTATCAAGGACATATGGGGTGCGCGCAAGCCATACAAACATGGCTGGCCCCAACGACGTGACGACCATCTCACCGAGACTCCTGATGGGGATCTTTATATTATTAACCTTTCTCTTGAGTTTTCTAGGGTGTTCATTCGCCGATTAAAACATTCCTTCACAGCAATGGCTGTGGGTTGGATATTGGAGTGAAAGATGGAAAAGTGGTCAGGGTGCGCGGGCGTGTGTCCGGGGAGACTGGGCCCAAAGGGCCTGAATGGATGAGCAGATTACTATTCTATTCAACTGTTTCTTTCTTTTTTTATTATCGTCCTCATTATTTGGCCGGAACTATTCTTCAAAGGTTTCCGCTGCTGACTTTTGTCGTGTGCAGCTGGGTTTCCATAAACCACCCTGATCGTCTCAAATACCCGCTTATACGTCGAGATGGAAAGCTCCAGCGAGCCTCATGGGATGAAGCCATGTTATTAATTTTCGAAAAAACAAAGGAGGTCCAAGCACGGTTGACGAACCACGGCATTGGGTTTTATGCCTCTGGACAGCTGTTCCTGGGGGAATACTACGTCTTTGCAATGGTTGGCAAGGCCGGTTTGAATACATTGCACATGTACGTGCATCATCCATCATAGTCCCTTGATTTAAAACCCTTCCCGGCTGTCAAGACCAACTAAGTATATCTCAAACAGAGATGGAAATACCCGTCTATGTACAGCAACCGCTGCGGCCTGCATGCGGGAATCTTTCGGCTGCGATGGTCACCGTCTGGACGGCCCCAGCCCACCAGCGCTCATTGTCGCCGATCCTAGAAAATCGGAAACGGCAACAAGAGCCACAGAGCAGCCAAGAACGGGACAAATCTTTCTTTGTTCAATGGCCTGCAGCATCTACTCTTTGAAAATGACTGGATCGATTGGGAGTTCGTTTCGAAGCATGTGGTGGGCATAGATGCTCTTCGTAAGGTGGTGGATAAGTATAGTTACACCTGATTACGTGGAAAAAATTACTGGCGTCCCCAAGGCAAAGCTGAAATAAGCTGCGAAAATTATTGGAACCACTCCTTCTCTACTGTCTACCGCGCTTCAGGGCGTTTATGGGTCCAACCAAGCTACTGGCAGCCCCTGTCAGATCAATAAAATCAACCTCCTGTTGGGAAAGATCGGTAAGCCTGGTAGCGGGATCCTCTAGATGAACGGACACCCCACGACGCAGAACAACCGCGAGACTGGTTGCGATGTGGAGATCCCAGGATTTCGGAACTTCCAGAATCCTAAACATATGCAAGCAATAGCTGATATTTGGAACATCAACACGATCCAAATGCCTCACTGGAACTAGCCAGCTCATAGACGGAACATGCTCAGCTTCATTGAAATGGTTCCATTGAAATGTTCTGGATTTCCGGAACCAATCCGCTCGTCGGTCTTTCGAATCTACACAGGATTCGGAATTTATTATCTAAACCAGACTTATTTGTGATGACGCAAGATATCTTCCTAACAGAAACTGCAGCTTTTTCAGATGTGGTTCTCCCCGCAGCTCAATGGGGAGGTAAGGTAAGACTGGATGCTTCACCAACGCTGATCGGACTATGCATCTATCTCAGAAAGCAGTGGACCCTACCGGCGAAGCCAAAGTCGACCTGGATATCTGACTTGACTTTGCAAAGAGAATGGATTTCAGGAATGAAGATGGCGAGCCGTTCATTCCGTACACGCATTTTGAAGAGGTGTTTGAAGCATGGAAGCGGATGTCGTTCGGCCGCCCGCTGGACTGCAGCGCTTTGTCATATGATAAATTGACCGGGGGGTCGGGGATACAGTGGCCATGCACAGCAGAATATCCCCATGGCAAAGAACGTTTGTTAGAAGATGTCAAATTCTTCACAGACGCGCAATACTGCGAGTCGTTCGGACATGATCTGGAGACCGGCGCGCCCTACACGGAACAACAGTACATGGGAATGAATCCTGGAGGCAGAGCAATTTTGAAAGCAGCTCACTACAAGCCACCCATTGAAGTGGTAGGCCGACCAGTAGTTACTCTCTTCATCTGACCACTGGAAGAAATGTCTATCATTTCCACACACGGACAAAGACTGGACGCTCGAAGCGGCTTCAGGATGCAAGACCCAGAGCCAGTCATTCATATTTCTCGGGTGGACGCGAAAGCTTTACATCTAGCGGACGGGGAGATGTCGTTGGGCGGTCGCGCCGCGGCAGTGTTGAGTTAGCAGTCGCCATCCGCGATATCGCCAAGGGACATGTGTTCATACCTTTCCATTTTGACTACTTTGATGGTAAGGACGACAGAGCTCGTGCGGCAAATGAATTAACTATTGGTAAGTTATGAATCTGTATCATCATTTGGCTTTTTAAGCCTACCCAAGAGGTTTAAGATCAATGCTAACTCAACTTAGAGCAATGGGACATCATCTCCAAGCAACAAATGTTCAAGTCCGGAGCCGTCTGCATCGAGAAATGTGTCCAAAAGGAAGGCACTCGCAAACGGACCAAACATGCCAAAGAAGAGCAGACCAGAGCAGTTGAGAATATCGAAAAGAACCAGGGTTCGGCCCAGCACGCGACGGAGCTTCCATCACAACAACGCCTACGCTTCCCTGAGCGATGGATGGGCGTGACACACGAGGCACTAGAAATGCTCATAGAAATGTACAGAGATCTGATTCCCCGACTCGTCCACGACCTGGAAGTCCAATCAGGTCTTGGCGTCATGTGTCAGATCGTGAACCGAAGCCCTCCAAACCTTCCAGCCCCTGATCGACAAATATCACGAGAACCGAGAATATGGGCGCTCCGTCGCACAGCGGCTTCGCGACGCCATCTTCTTCCACAAGACTTATACGAACGATCCATATGAGCCTCTAGAAGCGCTGCAGTCATTGGATGTCTTCCTCACGTACATACATCGAGGGTCACTTGACGGGACTGCAGCCGGCAAGCATGGCCATCTGGGATGAACAATTTGTGGAGGCTGTTTCGTTTGCTCAGAGTGGGATTCAACGGCAGAAGGCGTGGGCGACGCAGCATGTTAAGGTTAAGAGTCCGCAGACACTGCTGGTGCCGATGGTGAAGCAGGGGGATCTGCATATGCCGGAATCGAGTATTGCCGGGCAGATTCGTGAGCGGACGAAGTAATGTTGCTTGCCTCTGATTTTTGGTTTAGGAATTTTGTTTGTTCCTGTAGTCCCTTTACTGGCTTTTTTTTTTATGATTCGAAGATGTATAAAATATAATTTCTTGCTACATGTGGGATAATGAGGATGGGACATGTAGCTACAAGGACGGATCCTTTCCTCCCTAAGAATGGTTTAATGATATGAAGTGTGTACGGGATGATTCATCCACGCATCTCGTTCACTTTAAGAGCGCTATCGCCGGTAGAGTTTCTGATAGCTCTGTAAATTTAACGATCACGCCGCAAGAATCCATTTCCTTCACTCAGAAATATCAACCTAGTCAACAAGCGCCACCCACGCTCAAAAGCGCAGGCCAGAAAACTGGGATTGAGTAAAGGAACGGTAGAAACACTAATAAGTGCATTTTAGGAAAAAAGCCCATATCGCAAAAGTTAGATGACATTTAGATACTCCATTGTCCGTTATGCCTTCCCCATTTTCCAATCCGTACAGCATGCACCTGCAACCCCTTTTTCCTCGAAGTCAAACAACTTCAAACAAACAGCCAAACCCGAAAAACAAACAGACAATCCATCCCAGTTCAGGTCTCATATCCCCCCCTACATTGTAAATATTTCGTCTGTCGTCCGCAATTGCAATTGCATTCCCTTCATACAGACAACAGCAAAAAACACAAAAGAGGAAATAAGAGAAATCGCCCATAAATCGTTCCTCCACACACACATTTGACAGATATCCCCATCCCTTATGGCATTCCTCGAGTCAGCATAACAGAGCACCGAAGTCGTCGAAGTCCGAACACAATGCAAGCGTTTTCCAGACGGAATCTATTCTCTGCCTCGGTTCTTCAATAGATAGACGTCTGTACCACGCAGAATCCTGGCCTATTCGAAACCGTAGACGGGATTCCCCATCTATATTCGAATGGGTACAAGTGTTAGCTGGCGTTCCAACTTCAGTTTGTGAATTCAGAATTCCCCATCCTCTCTTTCCTCAGTCAGAAAAGACGGTCCCAGGGCCAACCCAGATTCATAAAACCATGGCGATAAGCAAAATAAGTATCACTTACTTCTTGCAGGATAAACGCCACCTTTCACGGACAACGGAGGGTATAATCGGTTAGCAATATCATACCGAGAAAGGATAAAATCCAAGAAAAGGTGCTCTACAATATATGCAAATCAAGCACAACTATCCAATCCCTTTTTTTTTTTTTTTTGGTGAGATTTGCTCGGATTTGCAAAAATAGAATAAATAGAATGTATGACATATAAATGCAAAGGGAGGACTTACATCCCGAACTGTAATAGTCTGGAGTATTCACGAGTAGATGAGTTTCTGGTCAGCTACAGTCCATTTATATATCTTCCACCTGGATTTTCTTTTTCGGAAAACAACAACATATAGAATTGAAAAAATGGAATGTGAAAGCGAAGAAAGACAACAAGAATACCTTACGCTCCTTATTAGGATACTTCGATCCTTCCAACAAAACGACGAGTTTTCGAATAATCTGTAGGTGATTCGAAGAAAAAAAAGGAACATTAGCCAACCTCATATATATATATATTTTCCCAACTCTCTCACCCTTATCGTTCCCATGCACCTTAGAGTAGGAAATCAAATGCAAAAAATCGGGAGAAACCGCTCCAAAGACGAAGTCGAGGAGCAGAAGATGAACACACCTCGCGAAGACGCATGAGTATCACAGACCGAATGGTATCGTAGATATCCTTCTGCATGCGGACCACACCACCGCGACGGGCGAGACGACTGAGGATTGGGGGGGGGGGTTAGAAGAGTTGATCTTTTAGATATCCAGAAATTAAAGGGGATAATATATCCGATAAAACGAGCGCTGTGCACGGGGAACATTTCCCCCCACACATCAAAAAGATCTTTCGACGGTTTGAATGCCTTTAACCAAAAAAGGAGTTGGAGGTTGGGGACCTCGCGGTACTCTCAAGGGCTGGATTGGTGGATATGTGGGAATTTATTTTTTGAAATCGACCTACCGAATCGCGGGCTTGGCTATAATTAAAAAGGAAAAAAGGGCACTCAACGTTAGTCTCCGGATCAATCCCTATACCTATGTGTTTTATATCGTTCTCATGGTCCTTCGTTCGATTAAGAGGAGCAAAAGAAAAAGCTGCGAGTGAGGGAGAGAAATGTGCAACCTTTCCCTCAAGAGCAGTTAATACTTACTGACGCCCATGATGTTATCTCTCAAACACTTTCTAGAAGCCGTAGAAGCATATGAGAGTCAGTTTCTAAATCTTCTATTCTCCCACATGAAAGCAGAAAAGCCATTGGAAAATGGGAGGGCTACCCCTGAAGAAGGGTAGAGTAGAAAACATAGCATGGGCCCTGCCTGAACAATCCCATATAGAAGTATTATGCTATTGGGCATTTCATCACTCACTTCAGGCGTCTTGGAACAAATCTGGCAACGTTTTTGGGGTTAAGGTTGCGGTGCGGATGAATAGTGTCCATTTCTTGTCGCTCTTTTTTGTTGCGTTCTTGTGACACCGGGGGGGTTTAGAGAAGGGGTTTCCTCCTGGTATTGTAGATGGCAGGTACTGTAGGAAGTGGATTGGATGTGAGAAGACTTGGAGGAATGAAGCGCTGTCTTCAGAAAATGAGATAAGGGCTAGTTTTGGGTTTGGTTGTGCTGTTCGTGAGAGTAACAAGATCAGAGAGGCTGGTGATCGTTGGGTGAAAGGAAGAAAAAGGCATTAGAATAGGGGGAGAGTAGTAAGGTAGGGTGTTCTATGGTCTGATGTGTTGGTGTTGATAGGTGTTGAAGAGGATGGATGTGTTGTATGAGTGAATTGAGGTTAGGAAAAGGGGCCTAACAAGACAATTATGGGATGTGTAGATAGGCTGTAATCAGTTCACGGTAGCGGGAAGCAGGACTTCCCTCCTAATCTCAGGGGACCTTAGATGAAAGAAGAGGAAATTAACAAAATAATAGTGGAAATTCGAGTACCTAGGCAGAACGGCGGAGACGACACCGTCCAGTGTTATTCCATTTCATAGTAATAAGAATATTATAAGGGGTGGGAAGGCATTATCAAGGCCTATCAAGGTAACGTAAGAAATCAAAACAGGGGATCGTTGGCATATATGGGTAGGGCTTTAGGCGTTTAATGCATGAAACGGCGTTTTCAAAATTGATTAAAAATAAAGATATAACGAGGGGAGCGAACGATTAAAAGATAGAATTTAAAAAAAGGAGAATCCCAACGCCAATTCATGGGTCAACCGTGATAATGACAGAATTCTTCGTCTTTGATTACATTCAAGAGAAGAAAAAAGAAAATCGGGCAAGGTCTAAGAAATGAAAGTTGCCTCCGAATAGAGCGTGCCTCGCTCTGTATCCTCGGTGTCCCCAACGCGAATCTTTAGGGAGAGCTTGTCTTGAGGCGAAAACTATAAAATAATATTAGAATCATAGTCTTAGTATACGTAGCGTGCCACTACCTCGTGCTCACCTGGTAAATGTATGGTCTTGTTCCCGCAACGCTTCCGACGATAGATTTTATAAGCCCTGGAACCTCTGCCATAACATCAACGCGATCAAGGCGTTGGCCCAGAGAACCTTCCAAAACTGCTTCGACATCTTTATCGTCCTTCGATTTCCCATCCCAGGTGAACTTAATCGACTTGGGTTCCGGCCAGTCGTTGTAGGTATCTTCTACAGAATCGAGATGGATCGCGGGATTCACTGGACCCGCAACAACGAGCTCGCCGTCCTTCGCAATGCCACCAACACTCACAATGGTGGAGCCGTATGAAGGAGGGGTGGTGTACTCCATGAACACTGCAGAGTACGTTGGAGATTGGAACGCTCCAAAATTCCACCGTGCAGCTGATGAAAACGTTAGCCTTCATACCACACATATAAGAAAAAATCGCATCAAAGACACAAAAAGAACATACCAAGGTGATGAGGCTTCATGCCCTGGAGGGCATGAATGAACAGCCCACGGCCTTTGAAGTCAATTTCCCTCTCAGGCGTAACAATGGTACCCTCAACCTGGCATCGTGGCCAAAACACATGACGCATGCTCCCCCACGGATTTTCGGGGTCGGTACCAAAGTTCGAGGTGCCATTTCGTCCAACCGCAAAACCGGGCGCGGTGCGTTTCAAAGTGACGTTGACGAGGCTTTCCTCGTTCATGGCTGACTTGACGGAGTAGGTATCGCCTTCAGCATTGAGCGTGAGAGCAATGTTGTCTCCGCCGAAGGAGAGCATGTCTTCATCGAACATGTAGTTTTGAACAGAGTCGGTGCACCATTTATGCGGTGTCTTACCGTCCGTGCCGTAAATCTTGGAGTTGAAATGGCAGGTCGTGTGGATTCCACTGTGGACCAAAGGAAAACATCCATACAATCGCAATGGCTTAGCAAATCTGTTTTCAACCGGGAAGCAAGCAAACAAACATAAAAAGTAGAAAAGTAAGAGAGCTCCAGCATCTCCCCCGAGTATTTGCTCACGCGACATTGCTATAGATAACCTGAAGCATAGCTAGCTCCCCACTGTCGGAGAAGAGATAGAAGGTCTGGGTCTCGACGCAGGTAGACTGCATCGCCCTCCATCGCAAATCGTCCTTCGTTAACTCCCGGTATGGGGTACCCAGCGACTTCGCCTGCACCGTCACTGACTGGATGGCCTCCGGGCCATATATGGGTTCCTGCGTCCCCGCAACATTGGCCAATCTAAATAGAAGAAGTAGTAGAATGTAAGCAGCAGGCTCAAAATGGGTATCAACCAAGGGAAACCGGAGCTTCACCTACGTCTGTTTGAACCAGTTCATGATGAGAGAGGAATAACGAACCGATCTAGGAGAAAGAAATAAGAGAAATACTGAGGGGGAGAAGAGAAGAGATGTTGGAAGCAAAACAAGTAGTTTAGCTGATGGTAGCCGGCGGCTGCACAGTGAGTGATTCCCGCTGGAGAAACAAGGGCTCCGGGGCTATGCCGGATGCGGTAAGAGGGGGCCGCAGGCGTGGCAAGGGCAAAGCAACAAAAGCGCCAGCTGGGCCAGCGAGCGGAAGCAGCGGCGGGGCAGAGGAAAGGAGCTATCTGACTTAATAGTACAGAGTACTCCGTACAACAATAAAAAAATAATTTAATATTAAACCCAGAGACAAGAGATAGAAAAAGAAGAAAGCAGGGGGGGTTTGATAAGATTAGTCAGCCAATGCGGCTAGCTTCGACGCGGCTATTTTAAGCGGGCGCTAAGTAGACTTATCCCTGTCGGTGGATCTGCAGCCGCCAAAATTCCCCAACAGGGAAAAAAAAAAAGAAAAGCGACATCAGGGCATTAAGCATCAATGCACCACCAGCAGCTCTCACAAGATTTCCTCCCATCGAGAACGACCACTTGAAATCGAAGTGGCTGTCTTTGCCTTTACCCTTGCCCTTGACCACGCCCTCCATCCCTCTCCCATCCATACACAATGGCCCAGAAAGCCGCCGCAAGGGAGCTGATCGTCAAGCTCATCGTGGGAGCGGGACAGGCCAGCCCCAGTCCCCCCGTTGGCCCCGCCCTCGGAAGTAAAGGTGTGAAGAGTATGGATTTCTGCAAGGTATGTACCATCACAGTTACGGTTATCCATCAATTGATGGCTGTCGGTGCTGCTGTTTTCGTTCCTAATTTCTTAATAATACACAAACAGGAATTCAACGCTCGCACCGCCCACATCGAAACCGGGACTCCGATTCCAGCCCTCGTCACCGTCCGCCCCGATCGATCGTTTACCTTCGACCTCCGAACCCCCACCACATCCTGGCTGTTGCTCAAAGCCGCAGATGTAGAGATACGCAAGGGCCGGCTGCGGGGCACGGAAAACCCAGGCAAGGACTTCATCGGCAAAGTGTCGCTGAAGCATGTGTACGAGATCGCAAAGATCAAGCAGTCAGAGATCCGGTTGTCTGGAACAAGTTTGCAGTCACTGTGCAAAAGTATCATCGCCCAGGCGAAGTCGGTCGGCATTGAGGTTGTCCCTTGAGCCTTTCAAATCATCTCTTTTGTGCGCATATCTCGGGGAGTGATCATTTACTGATATACTCTTTTTTTTTTTTTTCCCTTCTATTAACCCCTTCCCCTTTCTTGGGAAGGAAGGTGTCAATTGCGACGGCGTTTTTCGGGAAAATGGGCATTTCTTTGCTGTATATTTTTATTGGGGCCATAACAGGGGGAGATGTTGCATATTTTTTGCCGTGACTAGCGAAGGATTCCCCTGTAACGTTGTATCTTGTGTATTATATATATGAACATTTAGGGACTCAATTTCTCCACCTTAAGAAAGCTTGTTCTTTTTGTTTCTATGAGACACTAGGGTGTGTATAGAGTAGATGGTGGGAGGGAGATTGGCTGGAATTGGGGCAATCCCCCTGCAAAATGCGTATAACCAAATGTACAGTTCACAATGCCCGAGGTATTCAGATATTGGATAACTTCTTCGACAGAATAATACTGGTAGGGTAGCACAGACACAGACACAGACACCCGGGGAATACTGTAATTATATGTTGTACAACCTTGAAATGTATGTATATATACTACAGCGTTTGGTCCTGCGCCTGTCAAGATTCCTATAGTTATAGTTAGAAGATGAAATGTTATCTGGAACAATTCAAAATAACCTTTCTCGGGGTTGAAAAATATTTTCCCATGCCCTTAAAATATCTCTACTTCATCTCAGGGAGTCTAAAAGCCACTCAACTCCCTTTTCGCAGTCCGCAGTCCACAGCCACAGTCGAGCTCTTTCTTGACGCACGCCGAAGCCGTGGTTTTGCGGAATCTCTGAGCCCGGTCGAGAGTTGTTTTGCCAAACAAAACAGCAGGCAAAAAAGGAAGCCCACGGTTAGGGTGGTGGGGTGGGTGGTTGGTGTGTTTAGCCCGTAGAGTGGATATTGATGTATCATTAGCTAGTTAGCGTTTAGCTTAACCTAGCGGGCAATTGTGACTCCGTCTTCCCATCCGCCATCCCATCCGTCATCCACGTCGCCCGTCGCATCGTCCGCAGCCTGCTTATCAACCATCCAACAGACCAACAGACCAACAGACGCTGCTAAGCCTTTCGTTGTCCGCGCCCTGGAGCACAGTCACCAGCATCCTGATCCCATTGATCGTGCAGACCGTCCTTTGGTTTCTGAAGCTTACAGCGTACGGAGTAGTTTGTTCTGATATCTCTTCTTGTCTGCGGCGTGGGTTACCCATTTCAGCCACATCCGCCTTCCGCCCGCCCCTCCTCTTTATCTTTTTTATTTTATTTTATATTTATTTTATATTTTATATTTTATATTTTTTTTGGGCAAACAAAACCCGTCACGATCCACCCCGTCCAATTCGAGGCTATCCGCACCACCATCATCATCATCAATTCTCCCGGGAGCATCAGTCGAGGGGTAGGTAATGTGTCTCGAGGCGTCCTGTTGCTTTTCCCACACTCTTCACGACCATGGCTTCCGAGTCCTCCCAGCACGAAGGTACGTCTGACGCTCCACTACACTACAATACCAAAAAACACTGGTTACAAGGGATGAAAGAGAGAAAAAAAGAAACGAAAGGAAAAGAAAACCTTGCCCTGATGGCCCCTTCCCGGCCTCTGCGGCAATCTCGTCCATTTTTATAGTTCATTCTTCATTGACGTGAACCTCAACCTTACAGACTCTCCACCTACGGGTAGAGACAATCAACCCCCTCCCCATCATCAACATCACCATCACCCTCAGCAGCACCAGCACCCAATCCATTCCGCGATGGCGACGAATTCGAGTTCCCGACCGTCATCACAGCATGGCCAGCAGGCCGTCCGTTTCGCCTCTGTAAACCAAGAAATCGAGCCTGCCATCTCTGCCCAAGAAAGCAACGAGCCTTCTAATACTCTCCAACCCCCGAACGACGAGATACAGTCTCTTTCCATACAGCTTCAGAAGTCCAGGCTACAGGAGGCCCGGTTGCAAAATTTCTCTTTTGATCCTGTTTCCCTCCCCGCCTCAAGGGTATGTGCTAATTCTAAGAACTTCCTACTCTGCCCCTTCCCCCCCTCCCCCCGTGTCCAGCCTTTGAGACGCGTCTGTGTTTCCGCTCTTCATCCGCAAAAGTTGTCGGGCTAGCTTCTACGTGTTGTTTATATACTCTTTTTATACTCCCCGGTTCCGTTTACTAACAAAGACGTGTTTCAGGTTCCTTCAAAAGATTCGGGTAGTATTCGGAGCTTTCGGGATCATAGTAGATCTGTCCCGATCTCCCCTACTATATCAGGGGCTCAGTCCCCGGTACTTACCCCTACCGGCTCTGGAAGCCGTGAGGGAAAACAGGGAGACCAAACTGACTATAGAGATGGGATCGGGACGTCGGAACAGTCCGAGTTCACTCCACAGACATCGCTATCAAATGACGTACCCGGAAAAGGATACGACTCTATTGGGGCTGGGTCCCGCCCTTCACCTTCCTCTGAACCTTCATCGACTAAGTACGCAGATGCTTCCGCTGCGGATGACGCTAGACAATCTCGCACTCGCAAACCAAAATTTTACCTAGCCCAGTCTTCCGAACCTGAGTCCCGCGAGCCGAGCCCTCCCCCAACCCAGAAGTGTGAACCGGGCTGGAGTACGCCTGTCTCAGGGGCAACTACTCCCGGTGGAGATCACAATGACCCTTACTCTCGAACCCGGAGACCCCCTCAGCCTAAGAGCCTCTCTCAGATTGATCCTCGCTTTGTTTTTGCAAGTGTAGATGCCAAGCGCCGAGCGAACCAGTCGCGGTCTCCTGCGCGCATTCCTCGATCAGCTAGCGGAGGCGACCTTAAAGCCTATGAAAAACGGGGTAGCTTCTTCCCTGGAAGAAAGGATAGCCGACTCGGTGATTCTGGCGGGCCACACGATGGCAAAAGTTCCGGATCTATGTCGGAGCTGAAACGCTTTTTCCGGATGGGCAATAAACATAAGCGTAGCGGTTCACCCGCGTCCAGCTTCTCGAAGAAGGATTCCCCGAAATCCGCGAAACATCCTCAGTTCCAACCGGCCCCTGTATCTATACCGTTTGCAGATGATCATGGTCTTCAGTCAAAATATGGCAAGTTAGGTAGAGTGCTAGGATCCGGCGCAGGAGGCTCAGTTCGGTTGCTGAAGCGTAATTCGGATGGTGTCACTTTTGCTGTGAAGCAATTCCGAGATCGCCATTCATGGGAGAATGAAAAGGATTACTCCAAAAAAGTGACGGCAGAGTTCTGTATCGGATCAACATTGCATCACGGCAACATAATTGAGACAATGGATATCATCAACGAGGGTGGGCGGTGGTACGAAGTCATGGAGTTTGCCCCCTACGATCTTTTCGCGATTGTCATGACCGGAAGAATGACGAGAGAAGAAATCGCCTGTTCGTTTTTGCAAATTCTCAGCGGTGTTGTTTATCTGCATGGGATGGGTCTGGCGCATAGAGACTTGAAATTGGACAATGTTGTTGTCAGCGATCGAGGGATCATGAAACTGATTGATTTTGGAAGTGCCGTTGTTTTCAGATATCCTTTTGAGAACGACATTGTGCTCGCAACTGGTTTGTTACCCCTGTTACCCCCTCCCCCCAAATGGATTGCATAATCTCCTCTTCTACTTCTTTCCGTCTCGTCTCACTAACAGAATGCAAATTAGGAGTTGTCGGTTCCGATCCGTATTTGGCACCTGAAGTTTACGATGAGAAGCGCTACGACCCCCGTCCAACCGATATATGGTCGTTAGCGATAATTTTCTGCTGCATGTCCCTACGTCGATTTCCATGGAAACAACCACGCATGACCGACAATTCTTTCAAGCTCTTTGCCTCGCCCCCTAGCCATCAGCGTTCTGAATCTGAGACGATCGGCCTTCTAAAAACTCGTCCACGTTCAACGCCGGATCTCCCAAGCGTGATTGATGCATCCAAGAGACAACCCCCTCGCGCCAATGAGAGAAATGAAGATGCTCGTTCGTCAAGTCGCCATCGCAATCACTCTCGGTCTAGGTCAAGGTCTCGACTATCCTCTAACGTCACAAATGCCGCCGACCAGAACACCAAGAGCGATGAAAGCCAACCGAAAAGTGAGATTCCTCCATCGCAATCATCTTCCCAAGTAGGCCAGGCAGGTCAGCGCCCAGAAGTTATAAAAGGCCCCTGGCGTCTCCTGCGTATTCTGCCCCGGGAAACACGACCCCTGATCGCCCACATGCTCAAGCTGAATCCTCGGGAGCGTGCAACGCTACAAGATGTGCTGGCCGATTCGTGGGTCCGAAGCTGTCAGGTTTGTTATCAGAAAGAATGCGGCACTGTGGTTCATGCGGCGAACCACACGCATGTCTTGGAACCACCATCCGCAGCTCCACCTCCAGCCAACGATAATAATAAAAAGGTCAAGCCGTGAGGCTCTTCGACTGTTAAATTAATGAGTCTATTTTTTTTATATTTTCCCTCCCCATCCCCATATGGATGGCCGGGGTGTGTATATAAATTGTTTTACCCCGATGATGCTATGTTAACGGTGCCATTCCCAATTCTCTCGAAGCCATTGCCCCACTACGAAAGATAACTTAAAACTCGACCCTCCCTCGAATATCTAGCGGCACTCCCGCCTTCCTTCACAAAACCCTCGAAGCCGGGGCAAAGGCATAACGAAAAAAAAAAATTCCATACGTGTGTGCTTTAAATTTTTCCAACTAGCCCTTTTTATAGTTGTTGTTTTCTTAATTTTTTCTTTTCTTCAGATGACGATTATATTATTTCGCTTCCGCCTTTTTTCCACCCCTTTCTTTCTCTTCCTCAATTGCTTTCCACAATACAATAATCTATATGTCTCTTGTGTATCTGGCTGATTGACCCAGTGATTAAGCTGGGAAAATGAACATTATTAAACAAGTATGAGGCTGGGTGGTATCACTAATATTTCAAAAAGGAAATAGCCAGAAAATGTCATGACATGACATGATGATATCAGAGTTGATGATTCAATTGCATGAATTGCATGAGTGTTTTTTTTTCCCTTTCAAAGAAATGAATGAATTCACTTTTATTTCTTTATCTGTATTGTCATTAATGCATACTTTGCATTCGTTATTATTATTATTCTTCCATTATACTCATATGCAAGCGGAGCTTATGATGAGTCCTTGTACAGTACAATGATAAATACAGGCCAAGAGTTGGTTATGCAGGAGGAAATACTCTGTAAAGGTGTTGAAACCAAACCAAGATAACATGAAATATAGGAAATACAGAGAGTGACAATTTTCGAGACTCGCGAGTACATGATCCCAGCCCAGAATTGAAAGCAAATTTATTTATTTAGTACACCTCTTTATTCATTAAGAACCTGAGATGCTTGAGTTCTGGTTTTTCAATCTTGACCTGATCGGATTTTGATGTATCACCCCTGTGGGAATCGAACCCGAATACCCATTTGACCCAAATGTCACTATAGAGGTAGGCTGCCTTAATACTGGTCTAATCTCAGATCACGTTCCGATCCCATTTCTCATTCCTATCAACGATGTTGTTGGTTTTGAATGGAATTTGTTCATCGTTTGGTCCTATGAAAAGAGCTGGGATACAGCACCTCTTTCATTGTGGTTAATACAACTTCAGAGTGCTTTGCAAAATTCGCTCCATGATCCAACACTCTGCCATTTATTCCCCACCCAGTTATCAAGCTACTATGGTACTTAAATCTGTCACAGAACACTCAGCCTACACATCCAAAAGAACTACCAAATACGCGAACTCTCTCTAGGCATATACCTCACTCAGTCTTGTACTAGCAAAGCCTGGAAAAGATATTACCGCACACGTTTCACACCTGTTCCTAACTAAATCAGTCACTGCTTTCCTCTCACAGTGAGCTCCTTGAAGGGCTCTGGAGAACAGAAAATTCATTTCAGAATATCAAAGACCACCTTCTTGTCATAATTGTCCTTGCCAAAGTTGTATATAGCCCTCAGTGTCAAGATGAGCATTGAGTACATTTCAGATGAATTGCAGGTTGCTTGAACTATTCATACTTTCCCATAAATAAATGTCAAGAGAGAAGTTAAACATACTGCTAAAGAAACCATTCTTGTATCTGAGCTTGGAATTATATCAGTCCTCCTCAGGGAGTCACATCATCTCATTCATCTAACAGTAAAAGATTGAAGTGATTCAGTAGTTCACTTTGCAGAAGATAATCTTTGCAGTTTTCTTACAGTTTTGTGTCAAATGTGTTTGAGTGATTCTGAATCATGCAGTTTTAGTGATTATGACAAAGATGAAAAATTTGTTTTTTCTTGATAATAAAGTGAGAATTGATTATGATACTGATGTCTAGTCTGAAAAAGTGAGCCTTGAAACCTGATAAAATGTCAAGAGAAGGTGAGGTGAGTAAAATGAATAAAGAAGCATCAAAGATATATTATTATACATACTCTTGAGTCTTAGTAAAGAGAGTTTTATTGAAGCCAGAGAAACCTCAGTTGATTGAGAGACTTTGAGCATTTGAGATGCAGTAACTCTCTCACACTTGTAAATGACTTGTAGAAGCTCTGAGAATATTGAAAAAGTCTGATCTCAAATCTGACCATCAGATTTTGATACTGGATTTATATGCATGAGATCTTTCAGTCATCTATGTGAACACTCAAAACATGCATTTGCATTTATAAATTTTGCAGCAGGAATCACATTTATGATGCTCTCAAATGACAACAAATGACATTCATTTGATTCTGAGTGGATGAGATCAACAAAATATCTTACACTGACAACATCAACATATTATTGAAGGAAAACACTGACACTCTAACTAGAGCTCTTCTCATAAAGATGAGCTCTTCTTAATGTAAGCCTTCAACTCAGCAAACAATTTCTCTATTGAGTTCATATCTGATGAATAGAGCAGCAAATATAGTAGTCTCACTCCTGCATCAAAGCACATCTGCTTTATCAAAGAAAGCCGCATCAGTTGAACCCATAAAGACACAACAAAGGAGGATGCCATCTTGGGTGTAGGTAGGCAGTGTGTGATGATGTTGGCCCTGGTGAAACCTTGACACTTGGACTCGTGTCAACACCCTGCGGAGAACTAACCACTGCGCCTAAACCCGATTCATTTATCACATCCAGAATCATCAACATGATATGAACCAAATTCAGCTAGTCTATGGAGGATTCTTTCAAAAGTTATGATTAGTACTAAGAATTTAAGTTGTAACTCTGTTACTGGCATAAAATATTTTCATTCCCTATCATGGTGGCGAGGGGGCGGTGCGTTTGCTTGGGGGCTTGGGGGAGGATGGGCAGGAGTTTACGCGTTTGCAGGCATTGACGAAAGGGTTGAGGGAGATTGGAACTGTGGAGTGATAAGAGGTTGTAGATATGTATGCTAGCCTGGGAGGAACGGGTTGGGTTTCGCTCATTGTGCTTTTGTTTATTTTCACTTCTCTGCGTTTCCGCGCGTGAGGTGTAGCAGGATCAGATGTAGGAGTGTCTTGACAATAATTCGGAAATCCATCGATATGGATTTCCTCAGGCAGCATCGCCAAATTGTGTTCCGCTTGAATGTATATACGTATATACATATCACATTGCAATCAGAAGGTTAAAAACATAAACAAGGAAGTTGAAGAAGAATAGTAACCAATCCGCTGTGTATTAGAAGGACTCGGGTATCCTCTCCCTCAGAGTGTCACAGAACTAGCGGCTTGCTCCAGAGCGGTTTTGCAAAATGGGCAACTCACAAAACGGAACAGCCTAACAAGGGGATAAATGAAATAATAAATAGTGTGAAAAAGTAAAACGAAAAATTATCGTAATAGCTTCTCAGAGGAAAGAATATTATGAACAAAAAAATATGAAATGAATTCACCTCATATCTCCGTCCCAGACACCGACCTAGACGTCGCCGATGTCACCGAGCTAGAACCACCAATACCAGCGCCTGCTATATTAGCTTCAGAGGCGCCCGACACACCAAGCGTCGACATTTTCTGCGGCAAATCTGTATCATCGTTGTTCCCAGGTTTTGCATCCGAAGCTGACGTTGAGGCGCGCGCTGACGCTGCTGCGGCCTCGGAGCCTGGAATTGGAATCTCCCGCTTGCCGTTGGCTTTGTACAAGAGGATCATGTCGTTACCGGTCCGCCAGATGTGGGTGCGGATTGTGGAGAGGGTCATGTCGTGTGGGATAAGCTTTCGGAAGGTTATGTTTGGTTAGCTTGGAAGAGCTTCGAGGTATGTACAGTGCACGTGCATGTAGGAAAGAGTCCATGTTTTGGTTTTTGTCTTCAGAGAGGGGAAGTCCTGATCTGTGACGAAATAGTAGCAGTGGGACTGGGAACCTACAGTATTTTGGCAGTATAGTTCCAAATATTCTTCCGGTTTCAGAGTGTTTGCATCCGGGTCATCAGGGTTTTGCGGGTCGATGCGTTCGGCAACATATGCGAGGATCTTTTTGGCGCGGAGCATACGGTTGGCATTTAGGCGGGAGGGGTTGGTGTTCGTTGAGAGACTGGAGCTCCAAGGTTTAATGTTAACTACCAAAAATGAGAACGGGGAAGGAGGTTTGGTAATAACATACGTATCAGGCTTCACAACTGGAGGGAGTAGGTCGTTATAGGGTTTCAAAGAAAATGCGACCTTGGATACTTCTTTGAAGGGTATCGTGTTCTGCGGGGACAAGTTAATGGATTACTTTCGTTAATTTGGAGATAACCATAATAACCAGAAGAACTGAGAAAAAACTTACTCGTAGAAGGAACTCTCCGAGCCATTTAGGTGCGGCTTTCTCAAGCATATCGGCATCCGCGCCTACAGTCCCCACCGTCCCTCGATAGAGGTCTGCTGGAACAGCTGAATCGGGGTGTTCTTCTTGTATAAGTATTGCTGTATTTGGTGGTAAGGTTAGGGTCGGTGTCTCATTTTCTTCGCTCGGGGTGATCCTAGTAGACAACGGCTGCTCCGGGTGTTCGTTCAACGCTTCTTCATATTCAAATCTCATCTTTTCAATAACGCCGCTTAGGTTTTCGTCATACACTTTCTCTTTTTCAAACGACTTGTCGTCAGACTCCTCTTCAACCTTCACTTCGATGATTGGCTTCGTTTCAGTGGAAGTTCTTCCCAGTTTTTTGGGAAAGGACATTTGGAACTTTTTACCGAAACGAGATCCACTTCGTTTGCCCGGCTTATCTTCTTTCTCTGTATCGGCTGGCGAGGTTCCCAGCTGTGATTGTGATTCATCCTCTGGTGGGACCGGAGACTTCGGATTTGGATCCGGAGAGTCGATCGTGTGCGTGTTGGCAGAGGAAGCAAAATAATCGGTTTGGTCCTTTCCACCACCGTGGACTCCAGAAGTCGACGTTAACGTACTATTCCCAAAATCAGAAAAAGATGATTGCCCTCCAGGGGTGACGAATCCAATGGAAAGCCCAGGTGTGACAGGGTGGTGCATTCCATTGGCCGTTCGTGTTGCGCTGGAAGCTCCAGCTTCGGCTACCCCCTCGGCTACTATTTTCGGAATATCTATTGAATCAGGGGCGTTCAGTCGAGAAATCCCTTGCGTCTCCTTTGCCTTCGCTTCTAGAGTCTGTTGATATGCTGCATCTCGTTTGATTTCTTCATCAATGAGGCTGGCGAATAAATATCGAAGAACCCATTTTCCAAGGTTAACTGTTCCGAAAATAACGTTAACTATCTATACCGACTCTACTTATCTGCCCGAAAGGGACATTAAACATACTCCTTTGATCTTCCTTGAACTGGCTCAGGTCATCAAGACCTGCCTCATCAGCATAAATTTCACCATCAAAACAACGATTAGCTTCTAGGATCACAGAGAGTCTTCCCGTCCGCGTGTCCAAGGTACACCAGTTCGCTATGGTGTCTATCGTGTTAACTTCAGAAGTGACATCATCTAAGTGACGCTTCCCAAACGATTTAATTGGAATACACTGGCGAAATTTCCCGTTAGAATGGAATATTTCTCATCGTGGTCTTCTGTTTCTCGCTTACCTTTATGAGATCCCAGAGTACTACCTCCCCGGCAGTATCCTGAGTAAGCGCACGCCTCCTGTCTTTGAGTAGAACGTGTTTGATTAAGCCGTTTTGTCCCACTATTGTTTCTTCAGGCAGCGCTTGGAGAGGGGTTACCAACTCCAGGTCATCGTCAAGTACCATTTCATGGACGATCCGTCCCCCCACAGCTGGGGCCGCATTTGATAATTGTAGAATGGAGCTGCGTGGGAGTCTCCGTGGCGATGGCGCGGACTCTGAAACTTCAAAAGAAGGTTTAATATCACCAGTGCTTTGACACGAGACAGTGCTAGAAGTATGTCGATGCTGTGACGAGGGCGGCAAATCAACTTCAGCAGTCGTGTCGACATCATTCCATCGGTTGATACTTGATTTTGGTGTTGCAGTCCAGATATAATCACCCGCAGCAACAACCTGCACGACTCCGTCATTTTCCTGCAGCGCGGCCACACAGACACCCTGGTCAAAGTCTGCAGCCCTTCGACAGTCCGTTTTAGCAACCAAACCTGATCTATCACTCGAGTAGAATACGGATAATTGAGGATGATCGGAATACAGCGACCAGACACTGTCATTATGCATGGTCAGAGTATGCATGCATCGGCCAGCTGTCATGGACCAGATTTTGACCGTCTGGTCAGAGGATGCGGTCATGATTGTATCTCCATCCTGGTTGATTAATATGTCTCGCACATTGTCTGTGTGGCCAACAAATTTCGTGATCAGTTTCCCTGATCTGTGATCCCATACGCGAACGACGCATTCTGGGCCTCCGCTTGCTAATATGGAGCCTTTTGTGCTCAGGGCATACACAGAACCTTTAGTTGCAAGCTCATCTTCAGATAAGTCAATTTTTAACCTCTCTCCAGCTCCGTTCAGATCCCATAGATATATTTTGTGATCCAAACCACCAGACGCAACCCATTCAGAATGCAATTCTGGTGTCGCGAGACATTTTACATAGTCGCCGTGCTTGCCGATCGAAGGGGGTAGCTGCAAATCTTGTGATTCTGGCCGCCATACCCTAACAGTCGTATCGGATGATGCAGAAACGAGGGTTGAGTTGTTTTGGGCAAGGACAATATCATTTATCCAATGTGTATGTGCCTGAACCTGGCGGCGGAAAGTTGTTGCTTCTACAGTTTTGGAACTCGAATTGGAGACGGCATTAGAGGATGTAGTGCCTGACGAGGCGGAGGAGAAGTGGTTAGAAACGCCGCCCGACTTGAGATCAAGGTTTAAGTCCCAGGCACAGATAACTCCATCGCGACCAGCCGA